AGGGAGTGGGAGAGAAAGAATCTTAAACAGGCTCCACTCTGGGCTGATGTGGGGCTTGATCTCATGACCCTGAGATCATGACCTGAGCCCAAATCAAGAGTCAGACGCTCAACCAACTGAGCCACCCAGACACCCCTCAAAGCTACTTTTTATTGCTCCCCCTTTTATCCATCATTCAGTTGGCTACAAGATCATTTCCTCTAAAGAACCACCCTGATCATTCCTCTCCAGAAGTAAAAAGCTTCTCATACTTGCCTAACTGTGACTCGGTCTGCAAGGTGCCTCCATGATATTCTTTTATAACCAAATTTCATTTTACTTCTGGATAGCAAAGTACCCAACTACATTTTCCAGATTCTTTTACAACTAGGAATTGGTAGAATGTAGGTAAAAGTTGTAGGGTGGGAATTCTGGTAACGCCTCCTAAGAGGAAAAACATAGCTGTGGATGGGTGCCTTTCACTTTCCTCTTCCCATCTTTCCTGCTGCCTGAAATTTATACATGAGGGCTAGAGCTCCAGCAGCCACCTTGAACCAAGAGGTAACCTTAAGGATAAAGTCGTGTGTAAAGAATAGAAATACAAGAAAGATAGAAAGTGCCTGAGTCCCTGATGATTGTAGAACTACCCCCTGTTGCTGTGGAGAGAAAAATACTTTTGAACATTAGTCACTATTATTTATGGTTTTCTGTTATGGGCAGGCCCCAAATAGTAGCTTATTCTCTCCACTAATGTAGCTATTTCTCCAATCCAGTCAATGTAATATTTTGATTAGTTTTGAGCCATTGCTTCTCTTCTTAAGACAGGGCTTACAGATAGAAAGACCTAAGTTCAAGTCCAGCCCTGCCACTGTGACAATTATGTCTTTAGGCATTGCTTCTGTTCATTTTACCCTCATTTTTCTTGTCTGGGAACCAATAATAATAATTATTATTATAAACAACAACAATAATAATAAACAATAATCAAATATATAATAATATTATTAAGATGCACATTAAAGTGTTTGTTACTTTTCTTTCATTCTGTTTTTCAGTTATTATCCCAATGGCATCAATAGGAAAAATAGTTGAGGAAGGAAAGCGGGATAAAACTCAAATCAGGATATTGTCCCAGTTGTTAACAGTCCTTATAAGCAGCTGAATAAATGAAAGTTTCAGATTGCTGATTTTTAGTAGTCAATGGGAGAAACTATCAATAGACTGGACTTCAATTATTGACATTTTACCCTCATTCTCATGAATAACTAGAATCTGACTACACACATGTTACATTGTCTTAAGACCACTTGAATGCATACATACATGCATGCATACATTTTAAGAATGTAGGCTCCAAGAGAATTCACTTTCCCCAAATCACTGGGATGGAGGAGACACACAATTTCTGTCTTCTATTTTCCATTTAGAAAAGTTGACTCTTAATGATGTGAAGAAACGTTTCCTTTAAAATGGGCATAAGATTGCAAAAAAAAGCACATTCTGCCCAAACTCTTAGATCGTGTAATTTCATTTCTGCTTTTATGCACATTAAACTAAATTGGTTAAATAAAAACCTTGCTCAATTAAATTTGATTCGATTAGGAAATTTATACGTGCAAAGCATGGAATGTGTTGGTTAAAATAGGTTCTGGTTATTTAAAATGTTATTTTCTATGGATGGTTCATTTTTGCCAGGGCTTCATTAGTGAACTAAATTTTTGTTAATGTGGATCAATCTTGGGAGTTAAATAGGCCTTGGCCCTTTGTTGGGAAATCACTCAAGTAGTAGAGAGTTTGTCTGCATAGTCTCAAAGGCTGGAACATTTGAGTATCTTCAAATCCTTCCTGCTCCAGCTCCACATGACCCTCTCTTACCTTTCCTAACACTGCCATCATTTCCTCTTCAAAAACATTTTCTGGGGCATCTGGGTGGCTCAGTCAGCTAAAAGTTGGGCTCTTGACTTTGGCTCAGGTTATGATCTCAGGGTCCTGAGATCGAGTTTCACATCAGGCTCCAGAAGCTCCTCTCCCCCGGCTCCTCCCTCCCTGCAAAAAGCTTCCTCTGACTGACTATAAGACAAATACCATATGATTTCACTCATATGTGGAATTTTTAAAAAAGGTTTTTATTTATTTATTTATTTATTTATTTATTTATTTATTTATTTATTACGATGGGGGGTGTGTGTGGGATGGGGCAGAGGAAGAGGGAGAAGCAGGGAGTCTGACACGGGGCTCCATCCAGGATTCTGGGATCATGTTCAGAGCTGAAGGCAGCCAACCAACTGACTAAGCCCCCCAGGCTCTCCCATATGGTGGAATTTAAGAAACAAAACAGATGAACATAGGGGAAGGGAAGGAAAATAAAATAAAATGAAAACAGAGAGGGAGGCAAACCATAAGAGATTCTTAACTATAGGAAACAAACTGAGCGTTGCTGGAGGGGAGTGGGTGGGGGGATGGGGTAACTGGGTGATGGGCATCAAGGAAGGCACTTGATGTAATGAGCACTGGGTGTTGTATGTAACTGTTCAATCACTAAATTCTACCTCTGAAACTAATAATATAGTATATGTTAACTAATTGGAATTTAAATTAAAATTTTTTTAAACCATTAAAAATACACTAAAAAACAAAACATTTTCCTTCCTTTTGCCCGCTTCGGGTTCTCATCAGGCTCTAAATGCAGATTTGGCTGCTGGGTCCCATCTGGCCTGGTCTATGTCCTTAGCTGCACTTCAACCCAAATAATTACCTTTCGTGTTACTGCAAGACTTCTAAAACACACAAATAAAAAAATTTAAGTAGGGTTGGCTCAAAGTATTTTAGAGAAAAGAAAGTATTTTTTTAAGGGTCAAAGTGCCTATTGCAAAGGTATGTAGGCACAAAGCGCATCATGTGAGAGTACTTGACACATGCCCAAAGCAGACAGACCGACCCTGGAGTAGCCCTATTCTACAGGTGTCTCTTGAGGCCTGAATCCCAATCTCTGTCACCAGAAGTTCCACTCTGCTAAGATACGTGACAGAGAATCTTACATTTCATAGGTGATGGAAAAGCACTGAGATGAGGAAGCAAAGGATATGAAGGCTTTCTGGAGCATTATCACTAGTACATATATAGTACATGTCAAAGCAATGCACGCACCAAGTACTGTGTTCAAGATTTCCACTCTGTGACTGCCCACATATCACCTTTTAGCCACACCACAGGCTAGAAGATCCCAAAAGGTAGTCCGTGGTTCTGCTGTCTGGTATTCTCTGAGAAATTTTTTCCCCCCAGCTTTGATGATTATTGAACAAAGAAAGTTCTGGAAGAGGAGCATGGTCTCCTGTCTTCTAAAACTGCATAATGACCTTAGAGCCCACTCAATAAATAGTCCATAGAGCTCTAAGGAAGCTCATCAGTATTTCTGTATTAAATGCCTAATTCATTTATCTATTTGCCTTATTTTCCCTCTTTGTTTTTATTTTTTGATGGAGGCATAATTTATAGACAGTAAAAAGCACAGAAGAGTTTGATAAATGCCATGTAGCCCGCACTTCTATAAAGATATACATTTCTATCGCCCCAGAAGATTCCGTTATGCTCCTTCCCAATGTTCTCTTCTCCTCGAGGTAATCACTATTTCGATTTCTATCATCATAGATGAGTTTTGCCTTTTCTAGAGCTGTGTGAAGATGGATTAATACAGTGTGTACTCTTTTGTGGCTTAGTGTCTAATGTCTCATGTTTGAAGCGTGTATAAAAATCACCTCTTAGTTTCCTTATCTGTAAGTGGCAGGGATCACCTTGTAAGAATGATGTGCCAGTATGCCCAGGAGTCGGGAGGTCTCCTGGGAATGGTGAGGGGGCCTGAGGAGTCACCTTGACTGGGGTGGGTGAAGAGAGGCTGAAGGGTGGGCTTTGCGGCAACCCTCCTCCCCTTCAGACAGAATAGCTGTACTTTTCCATGTCTTACAAATTGGGGTTCCCTGGGAGATTTCATTAGGAAAAGGGTTCTTTGTAAAAAAAAAAAAAAAATGTTAGCGAACCGCAGGCCCAGGTGATCCTCACTGATACTTTTCCCTTGAACATTCTATAAATTGCAAATAGTGCTTTCTGATATGAGAGCTTTGACTGGCTCCCTTGAGGGAGGGCTGGGAGACAGAGGAAGCCAGACTGGGGGCCCCCAGGGAGGGCCCGGGCACTGAGCACTGTAATATTAGTAGTGGTTACCATCAGATAGTGCCACCCCGACTGAGGCGCCTAGACAATAAGCCAGAGGCCCTGGGCCAAAGGGAGGCACAAAGACGGCATTCAAAAGACCCACTCTCACAGCTCGGGAGCATTTCTATAGACTTCACCAGACCCTGGCCCCACCGGAATGTCACCTGACAGCCAGAAAGCCATTTTTCACGGTTAGCTTTCAAACTGCTAAAAATAATAAACACAGAAAGGAAAGTGCTGACATAATCTTAACTGCAGAGACAAACTGAAACTGTTGTTATAATAATGTAAACAAACTGGGTTCCAAATTATAACCTAGCCTTCCAAACGGGCTGCTTGACATTACCAAACATCTGGGGACCAGTGGGAGAATTGAGGGCTTGTCTGGGAAGCAAGGGGGTGTGCACTGCGTAGGTGCCGAGCCCTATCCCACGGGCTCTAACCCACCGATTAGCTACTCCTGACACTTTCTTTTAGCACCCAAGGAAAAGGCAGTTGGAGAGGGCTTCTAGATCTTTCTGGAGCACAACTTCCCCACATAACAAATGAAATACGGCTCCTCTCTCTCTTTGTCCGATGATTACTCTTCTCACCCTAAATTAATTCTTGCAGACTTCCTTTTCTCCATTATGTTTTTCCAGCCCTTTTAATGTTTTATATTCCTCCTGAATACTTACAGAGGTCACAACTATGTTAAATAACAACAGCCGCAATGCCACAAATTAGAAGGTAATTCCCCTAGTGCTAAAAAGTGACAATTAATCATAAAGATCACGAGTCTGCAAACAGCCAAGTCAAGCCTGACATCTGACCTTCTGATCCATTAAATCACACGCAGAAGCTGGCACCCACGCAGGCCGGCCAATGGGAGGGAAACCGCAGATCTGGAAAAAAGGAAACACAAGAAGGTAAATAGAAATGTTTTTTTTTTTTTTAAGTTCCCCAACATTTGTTTAATCTGCAACTGCTCTTCTATCTATGCTTAAATAGGGTCCGGTTTCAGAGCTGTCTCTGATTCTGAATAAATGCAAATTAGACTGAGATAAAAACCTCATTCCAAAGGGGAGATGGTTTCAGAGAAAGGAACTTGAACACAGAAGTTTTAATAACACATTATAGGCATAGGACAACGTTTGTGGATCCCAAAGACCTACTTTGCTGTGGACAAGACTCACGAGCTTTGGACTGCCAGCCTGGGAAGATGGTTACAAGGCAAATGTAAATCTTAAACGTTTAGAGATTTTGTGCTAACGAAGGTACGGCTGGCCTCAGAGGATGGTTCCCAGGATAGGTCTCAACCAACAGAATCAGCCATGCCCTGTGGTGAAATGACAGGAATTCATCAGGGCCCGTATCCAGGCTTGGAACTATGGAGCTGTCTAGATTGTGTTCAGTGTGATTATGCTGGGGATACATCCCACACATATAAACAGGTGAAGGAGACAGCCACACAGACTGTGGCACCTAGTTGTTGAGCAGAAGATGGTTTGGAGAGTCTGTGTGAAGAATAAGTGAGAAGCTCCTTTTCAGTTAACTGTGGTCCCGCAATTTTTGTGGTTGTTGTGAGGAACTTAGAACTCAGAAAAACAGAGGTTAGTAGAGGAAATGTCTGCGTTCCTGCTGCCTCGAATAGGCCATTGATAAATTTTGTCGTAGCTGCTTTTTTTTAAATTAAAAAATAGAGAGCATAGGTATAATCTTGACAATCCCACTCTAAGGCCAGACCATGAATTTGTATTTTTCTAGTCCACTTTTTTTTTTTACATTTACATACAATATATGCATCCAGGACAATGAATAGTGTTTGTGCATTTCAAATTTAGCTCTATGATATGAATCTCTGTACGTGTGTATCTACCATTCTCCATTTTTGACTCTACATTGTCTATGTGAGAGCTAACCATGTTGGTCTGTCACATTCCCTGTAGCTGCCACATCAGATGAATATATGCTCAAGTCATTGTCTTTTCACTCAACACCCAACATTTATAGCACTATAAAAGCACTTGTTATATTATTAAAGTGATTGTTGGGTGTGTGTGGGTGTGCATGTGCATGTGCAGATGTGTGAGTTTCCTCTGTGATGGACTCTGAGCTCCTCAGGATGCTGTTGTGTCTTGTTTTCACAGTGGCTCTTTTACTCCATGACTCCAAGCAGAAGGGACACTCAGTGTGTTAAAAGGCAAAGCAGATTTGTTAAAAATTGATCGGCTTGTTATTCATTTTCCTCCCTCTTAAAACAACACGATGGAAGACTTTGGGGTTGTATTTATCTGCTTTCATCAGTCTCTGTCCATTGCTCTTGTAACAGACTTTAAATCCTAAGCCATCAATATCACCTAACTGTTGGCTAGAACATCAGAAAATTGGATAGCATGAGGCTGAAGACCAAGACATTTTTAAGAAGCATATTCTAAAAGCATTCTCAAAGAATAAATGGACAGGCCCAGGAAGAAGCTAGTGTTCGTAACTGTCATTGTGGCTTTATGTGAATATAAGTAACTATACATCACTATCCCTGACATTGATATTTAAAAACGAATGGTGTCTTTTGTTGGAAAATACTGGATCCCATTTATTTTTTGAGGGTATAAGTCTGATTTAGATTTTGAAGAATATATGTGAACCTGACTCAGTGAAAACAACCTAAAAATTCTCACGTCATGATTCATAATAATAAGCATTTTATACATAGCCTTTATTAAGAACATTTTGTGGGCTGGGTTGTGCCAATCTTTTACCTAATTTCACTTAGTTTAATCCTCTCACAATGATCATATGACCATTTTTCAGATGAGGAGAGGAGAGGCACAGGAAGGTTTAACATTTTTGCCCGAAGTCAAACAGTGAAGAAGCAGCTAGCCAGGAATTTCACCCTGGTAGTAAGATATCACGAATTACTAAGAACAGGCCCAGGTTTTAAGATAAAACTGCAGAGAAGGAAATTGAAAAACAGTGCGACTGAGGGTGCTTCCAAATTTTGCCATAATCCCTATAGACAGTATCTCTTTCATGGTGTGCCTCAAACCAAGAACAAACCAAATTAGAATACTCACTCTAATTAGACAAATTCAAATGATTTCTTAGTGATGAAGAAAATTTAAAGTAGCAAGGTCAAGCCCCAGACCTTTCCAACTTAAACATACCCATTTTTAATTCTTCTTCTCTTAAGAAAACTGGGGGCCGCGAATTTGCTCATGGCTCAAAGGAGCCTGCCCAGTTTGTTTACATGAGATTCAAAGCAAAAATGAGAATCACTCCCTGGGACAACTTTAGCCTAGAATGTGTGCTCTTTACACACTTTTAATTGGGGCACAAATATATTAACAATGTGGTTATTTTGTACTTTCAAAAGAATCTGTTTTGTAACTGATTCATGTTTATATTTGGAATATATTTATTTCTAGGCATGAAACAGTTCATTTTGTTGAGCCATTTGACCTGAGGTGAAGTTGGCACGATTTCCCGTGACTGCTCCCAATTAATGCAAATTGAAGGTTAAAGGATAAATAAAGTTCCTTTAACTTGGTTTATTAATATGTTATTTATAAATGGTTCTTTACTTCATCAATTTCTTTTTCAGTCAGTAACTATGTACAAATGAACCATTCCCAACAAACGAGCGAAAACACCATGTATATTTTATTGCAAAGTTTTTGTTTTAGAAGGGCTAATATGGCAAAAAAAAAAATAATGTCATCCGTCTATTTATCCATCTCTTTAGTGTCAGTTCTGAAGTCTGAGACAGACTCTATTGCATTATGGCCTACATTCTTCACCCTGCCCCCGTACCTACCTTTTTGTCACGTAACATTGCACTAAAGAGGCTGAATCTAGTTTACTGTCCCCTTTGAGTCTGGTTTTGGCCATATGACTTGCTTTGGCCAGGGGAACGTTAGCAGGTATGCTGCTTGTAGCAGTCTGAAAAAGTTCTTGTTATGCTCATGTGTTTTCTCTTGCTTCCCTGTGATTGCCATGAGAAGATGCGTCAGCTAGCCTGTCACAGTTGAGAGACACCAAATGAAGTTGACTCATGCCAGCTGTTTCTGCCAAGGCTATCCTGGATCAGCCTAGCCTAGTTAGGCCGTGTAAGTACAAGAGCCGAGGCAAGATGAGCAGAGCCACCTAGTTGACCTCCACCTAACACACATGAAGGAGTGGGCCCGGCTGGAAGTTGAAGAACCACCCAGCCAACCCTGAGACTCATAAACTTATAAATGCCAATTGCGTCTAACTATTGAGTTTTGAGGTTATTTGTTACTACCCCAAGTAACCCTATTCAATGCTACTGTGTACTAGATAACTGATACCAGACGTACGTCTGGTTCACTTAAGAAAAAAAAAAAAAGATGCCCACCTTGAAGATGGTTTAAAATTAGGTAATAAAATTCAGCAAATATCCACCAAATAAGCTGTATCACTCAGGGTTCAACCAGGAAATTATAAATTGGTCTAAGCATTTTTTTAAAAAGATTTTATCTATTTATTTGACAGAGAGAGAGTGAGAGCCTACACAAGCAGGGGGAGCTGGTTAGGCAACTCCCCACTGAGCAGGGAACCTGACACGGGACTCGATCCCAGGATCCTGGGAGCTGAAGGCAGATGCCCAACTGACTGAGCCACCCAGGCGCCCTGGTCTAAGCATTTAAATAGAAGGACTACAATGTAGGAATTTCATCACGCTGGTGAAGGGAAAGATGTAAAGGCCAACGGGAGAATGAGGCATCCAGAAACTGAATAATTGCAGGAAATCCTTGAGCTACAGGGCAAAAAAGAGTATCAATACTGGGGTCCTGGGGCCAAGGTCACCCAGCAGAAGCTCAAAGGGCCTCTCTAGTTGGAGCTGAAGTCCTAGAGGAGAGACACAGCCTTCATCTAAGATACTGTGTGAGGCAGGGCGTGTAGGGGAAGAAATACCCTGGCTTCTCTCTTCCTTCAGTCTTCCATTTTCCCTCCAGGGCTTTCCAGGGCTGGAACCCAAATGGAGACCAACTGGACTCAGGGACTGGGCCAGCACAACCCTCAGGGGCAAGCCTTTTGTAATGCAAGGGACGGAGCTGAGGGCAAAGCAGAAATACATCACCATGATGTGCAAGACACTATACAAGGTGTTATTCAGTGCTGAGGGCTACATCGGCAGAATACCGAGAATCAGAAAGACTGGGCTTGAAGGTTAGAAAGGGCCTGATAGATAAAAAGTGAGGGAGAGGATGTTCAGGTAGCAGAACTGTGGGAGCAAAGTGTAGGCAGTACTGGAGGAAATAGCATGTGTGCTGGTTCGTCTTAGAAGGTTGTGTATTTGGGAGGAGGAGGCAGGGGTGGGGAGGAGACGATGGGGCTACAAAAGTGAGAACTTGAAGGAGTCTGGATTCCAATCAGACCGGACCCCTGTCCTGAAGACAGCAGGAAATAAGATGGTTCTGAGCAGAGAGTAACATGTGCGTTTGGAGTGTTACTTTGCTAGAGATTGGAGGGACAAAGATTGGAGAGCGACAACTAGACTAGGGGTTTTTAATTAAGTGCAGACCTCAGAGAATTCACAACCTTTCTGAACAAACTGGCAGGACTTTGTACAAGCATTCAGTTTTCCGAGAGATGGTATGTAGCTTTCACATGGCTTTCAGTGGAGCCCATGACCCCTGATCCTATCAAAAATGGTAAGCACAGCAGCGGGGAAGCGATCTAGAAAGCTCCTATAAATACTTCTTTTAATGAAGATCAAAAATTTAACAGTAGCAGTGGTAATGGAAGGAGTAAACAGGCAAACATTTATGAGGCACTATCTAAACAAATAATCTACATGAATGTGAACAGAAATAAAATGAGAATGAGAGATGCTAAAGGGTTTAACTCTGGGCTAGATCTGTCTGCTGTTCCTTTCCCTCC